GTGTGTGTGTGTGTTTGTGTGTGTGTCCCTGCAAGACTCACTGCTCCCCAGACGCCAACTTGCCAGGATGCGCACTCAGGCAGCTCACAGCCCCCCACAGCAGGGGGTTTAGTGGAGGAGTCACAAAAATGTTCACTCAGCTTTTCTTCCCCGGCTTCCATGGTGCAGGACACTTGTCGGTGTCTCATCCCTTTCCCACAAGTCACCAGACACTGGTTTGAGGTTAGGGATTGTGGTAAAAGATGAGAGAGTCAGCGTTACTTTGAAAACACGGAAGAAAAATCCAACGTCACAGATTTCCACTCTCACGTTTTTTTCACAGTTTGTGGACAGAAAATTGGGGATAACTTCAGTAAAGCCTCTTAAAGGGTCCCTAGCTGCACTTTAAAAGAGGAGGCATTTGTGCTGTTTGAGGGCTGGTTCGATCATTTGTGTCACAGCTCTCTGAGAAATAAATGAAAAGGTGCCTGGCTACAGATCTCCGTGTGTGTGTAGAGGCCCACCTCGCTCCACTCACTGACGGTCCACTTGGGACACGGCTGCTCCCCGCAGACCTCAGTGACCACCCTCTCGTACTCGCTGCACTCCCTCTCCGCCAGGCGCCGACCCAGATTGTTCATACAGTAGGACTCTCTGCTGCGGCTCCCGCGCCCACATGTCTTGGAGCACTGGTTAAAGAAAACACGGAGAAATCTTAGTTACATTTAGGACCTTCTCTTCTGACATCACAGGTTGCACCATTTCTAAATCGTCGGTGTATTGTCTCTGTAGCGATGGAAACAGTGGCTGGTACTGAGCTGAGGTAACAGGGGCCTGTTTGAGCAAAATGAAGGCTCGAAAAGTGTAAGCGTGCACCTGTGACCAGGCGCTGTACTGCCAGCTCTTGAGCAGGCAGTCCCCGTGGCAGGGCTCCCTGGTGTGAGGTTTGGAGATGTCGGCGCAGGAGCCCGCCTCCATCCTCTCGCTCTGTCTCTTTAGCAGGTTGTACTTCATACACTGAACGTCCAGGCTGCGGTAGCCGGGCCCACATTTGGCTGAACACTCGCTCTTCCCGGCAACGTGCCACCTGGGAAGGGGAAGAAACGTTTAGAGACGAACGGGGAACGCTAACGCCCCCCCTGGAGTCTGCGTCTGCTCTTCCGCGCACCTGACATCGCAGTCCGTGTTGCAGGGCTCGGTCACAGCGACGGGGCGGGGAGAATGCTCACAGCGCTGGTCAGACACCTCCAAGCGGTCGCTCTTGCGCACGCACGCTGCTTTCCGCCTCCGCTCACCTGAACACACAGCGACCACCAAGGTCTAATCAGCTCTCTGTCATTCAGCCTCTCAGGCTACAGCATTGCAGCTCCATGCTGTTCCCAGATCCCACCAACACATCTCTGTAGTCTGATCCGTTTGCATCCCAAAAAATGTGAATATCAGGCCCTTATTTGGGTTACAAATTAAATATAGCAGCTTAAGGGAGCTGATGATGAGAGCATGTGCATTTACTGGTTCACAAAGGATGGTAATCCTTGTAATATTCCATGAATAATGAGCCATAAATGCACTGTGGTTTCTTGTATTTCATATTATCACATATTTGTGGTGATGAATTTTTATATTCTACGTAAAAATGACTTTGAAATTTGCCTCCAGAGCTTACCCTGACAGATGCGGTTGCACTCCAGCCAAGAGCCCGAGGGATCCCACAGAAATTGCTCCTTGTGTTCCTCGATGGGTATGTTAAAGGAGTAACGCACATCTGGGTTGTACAGGTTCCCGACGCACAAGACCTGTGGGAACAAAGCAGTGCACACTGGTGTCGTCTTTTTTAAGGAGGGACTGAATTCAGGACGGCGTGGGGTAACAGGGAGAGGACGCGTTTGCAAAAAATCAAAAACAAAAGCAATTAAAGGCAAAAAAAAGCTTCCTCTCCATACCTGCAGAATCAGCTCCTCCTCGATGCGTTCTGTGCAGTTGATGCGCTCAACCTTTGTGTCCGAGCCGCTGTAATCTATGACGGTTCCCTTGAAGGTGATTTCCCTTTTGAACATGGCCACCACAAAGTTCCCATTTAAAAGGGAGTTGGACTGGCTATCAGCTAATGCTGAAATATAAAGATAAAAGGAAAGATGAGCGGGACAAACGCAATGCCTTTCACTACAAATTTAAACAAGAATCATCTCACAGAGGAAACTGAAGTTGGTTTATCTATAAGGAGCCCAGATGCCATTAGCGTACACAGTGGGAACAGAATACTGTTAATGGGGCCTCAGACTAACATGTATTTCTGTCTGCGGCCACTCAGGACTCCATACACAAAAGTTAAATAAGCAGACTTTGTTTTGCAAAGCTGACACTGTGGGGCAGGGTACGGCCAAACACTGGTGGCACTTGATTGCAGCTATTTGCGGTTAAAACTGCGTGACTTCTGTCAGTGACTGACACTGCAATGCGAGCAACGCACCAGCGCCGAGCGAAAAATACAAACAAACACAAATACACACAACCAAATGGAACACCGACCAACTCCCCCTCCATTACCAGCGCTACGCCTCTAAGAAACATGCAGCTCATTTCAATCTGTGGGTGTTTGCCGAAACAATGTATGTGATTATGTCTCCAGATAGAACTCTGTTTACACTTCACTCTGCATATAACTGGTTGCCAGCAAGCTAAATACAACTGGCAAGGAGCTGTAGTTCTTATCATAGCGCTCTTGTGTGAATGCAAAAATACTCAAAATGCTTTAAAGATGTGCATGTATTTATATGAATGACTGAAATCCTTCTTATGCAGATGAGAACATGCTGTATCTGACACGTACGCCCCCCTCTGATGCAACTGAACTGTGAGTTTCAATTCAAGCATTTCAAACTTTTTTTTTTCCCCCCCCAAAGGAATAACAGTGTGCATGAGCGGACAGGAGAGAAGCCAGATGAGAAAAGCGATGGTGTTTATTGACTGAATTAGGAATAGTTTCCGAGCCCAGTCAGAGCACAGGTTACAGGCCCTTCTGAAATGTCTTGCAGCTGAGTTACGGCGTGGCAAATCTGCTCCAAGCGTAAAGACGGCGTCAGGGAAGCTGCCCCTCGGCGGCAAATTGCTTCGCCATCGTGCTGATCTCACATGAGCAACGGCCTGTCGTTTTTTTTCTGCTGCTTCAGTCCATCAGAGACACTGAAAATAAGCAGACTCCCGCTCTGATCATTTTCCTTTTCTGGTCTGTCAGGAGCTGCAGCAGCAATTTGAAGCGACACACACATACACGCACACGCACACACACATACGCTGCATGTGTTGTCAAAAACAACCCAAAAATGCCATCCAAAAGCTTTCCACGTGGTGTTTTTTTTTTTCCTGCAGTGGCCAAACCAGCAGGGCGTTGCAAATATCAACCACATTCAATACAGATTCCACTCGCTCAACCTCTAGCTGTGGCACTCGGGAACAGCGGGGTTTGACCCGCTCACAGCGGTGTGCTTTTCAACATCTGCCAGATGTGTTTTCCGACGCCGTTATTTTACCTGGAACGCTTCCCATTTATCTAGAGGTAAGTGGAAAAATAATTGCCTGCTCATAGAAGTCAGTTAAAATGCTTATTGTCTTACCTCTTTTTTTCATTTTCTTCCCTCTCACTCACCCAAACGGAGCTGAGCCCAGTGGGTCCACCTCACCCCGAACCACTATATATGTTTTTGTGTTTCCTGGCCTGCACATGCCTCTAATTATCATTTATTGCAGCCTCATTTATCTTCCTTACTGGCTGACGCTCCGTTTGCTTTCCGAACCAACCCAGATGGACCAACAACCCCCCCCAGTTTCCTCCTTCTACTGTAACCTCAGTGCAAATGACGTTTTCCTTCTATTTCTGAAAAAAGGTTTAACATCAGTTTTCTCCAAACACTCTTTTATTAATGTCAACCTTTACAGCTCCAGGTCACCAAGTAATGTATGGTTTATGGTCCTGTAAAGGATAATGGCATTGACCTTTGTGATTTAGAGCAGAGAGAATGTAATGCACATGTCTTATTAGGTTGGGTTACATATATTTTAGATGAATTCTCCAGAGAAACAGTGAAATCTTATCCGGAATGGCTTCCATCCGCATCTCCGTGCTTACATACACACTCACCGAGGTAGTTGTCATCCTCTGGTTTTCCAGAGTAGCTGACTTGTTTGATATCGATGTTGGTGGCTCCAGCTGGGATCCGCACCACCGTGTTGTAACCTAGAGAGGAATGGTGAAAAAAACGCAGAATATGAGAGTGAGACACAGAGAGCCCTGCAAAGTGGGAGCAGTGAACGATCCAGCCTTGATTTATATAATGGCTTCACTATGTTACACAAAACTCCAGACAAGGAAGTCCAATCACGTCCACCGGGGATTTAAATGTCACTCTTGGAAAAATGTGAAAAAGCTCCAGTCCTCTCAAATAACCTGCAAAAGGCCTTGTTCCCGTCTCAAAGGCCGTGCCATGAAATGATATGTAATTATTCCCCGGACTTGCCTCTTGGCCTGTAATTGCTACACCGGGCCTGTTGTCCCAAATTGAACTAACACAGAAAAATGAGCGAGCATGAGAGAGAGAGGGGGAGTCCCTGAAAGCCAAGTGGTGACAACTTAAAGGCACATTTGTTCACTTGACAGGTGAAAAATGTAAAAAAAAAATAGAGAGCTAAAAAGTAGTCAGAGTGGACTAAGGGATTGCCACAAGTGTAACATTTGTTTAGCTCAGCAGTTCAGATGAGGATTGGACTCTACTGACTGGAATTAATCTGGGAAAAGAGTTATTAAGTCATCAGTCTGGCACCTTGAGCCACTCGGGGGCAGCACTCGGTTTACATATCTACTTCTCATCGCCCATTTAGACTTTTTCAAACACACACACACTAACAAATTACTGTAACATCCTTCATTCTAAAAGGGGTCATTATATGAAGGAATCCTAGAGCTCTCAGTCTTACTCAGTCATTTCTTATGACAACGAAACACCACATTTTCTTACCTCTATCTATGCCACTGTTTTTGAATGTCAGGTCAAATTTATCTCACATATATGTCTCACAAAAAACTAAAAAAAAGAGTGTTCTTACTTCAGAAATTACAAAGAAAATAATGTAAATACTGAGGCCATATGTTCCATAGAAGACATTATATGCACACTGACCAGTGTGCATTTAGAAAGCATAGAAAAGGAAACAGGAAAGGGAAAGAAAACTGTTGTCCGTGTTACAAATGCATATGTATTATAATCAGACATCTCATTCCACAAAAATACTTTACTAAAAATTAAACTAAGCTTCCAATTTAAATGTTTGAACCCTGTGACTTTTTTACTACTTTAAAGTTCTCACCAATAACCCTTAGATTAAGATGCTCCTGAACTATAAGGCCGATTAGGAAAACTTTTGATCAGTCAGAGGCACTTGGAGTACATCTGGGGTACAGTAAGTGTTCTTCTACCTGTGCTGGTATTTGAAAGACGCATTATTTCTTCAACCTGAAAGCAAAGGTTTTAAAAAAAAAAAAAAAACGGTGATAGAGACAGCTGAATAAAGACAAAGAAACGTCAAACAAAAAGAACTAAAGGGTGCACGGCAGAGAGGCAAGCCCAGACCCAGGAACAGAGAGATATCCTGCCCGGGCTGCACTCCCATTTGTTTTCCCCGTCTTAAGGTTAAGCCAGACTTCCAGGGCTGACGTCAGCACCTGATTTGGTTCAATACAGTCCTCAAAGTCTTTGCTCCCCCCATCCACCAAACAACCCAAAAACAGTGCAGAAAGAAAGGAGAGAGATAGAGATGCGAGCGCTCACACCCTGATCTTCTTATGCTAATGCTCGTGGTGCCCAGACTTAAAAGGAGTTGGATGCAATCAGCAGTTGGCCCTACACCCAAGCACTGCATTAGGCAGGGCGGTTCAAAGGGGATGATGTCAGGTTTGTGTTTGTTATTTATATAACCGCCAGGGCGAAATTACTGTGGTAATCCATGTCTCCGACTTCACAAAAGATTTGCTTTCTTGCAGCTTGACGTTTTTGGACAGAAGCAGACGCGACATCAGTGTCTCATACAATCGGGAGGCACGTTTGCGCTGCAGCCACAGGGCATTCTGAGGCCGCCTCGGCCCTTCATCGTGGACTGTGCGTCCCGTTTTTGCAGCTGTCATAGCTCCTTGTTCAACTGCAACACGGTCAGCCAGTAGTCGACCCACCATATTGAGCGTCGTTGAAAGTCCCCGCCAGAGTTTTACAGGAGGAGTTGTCCCCGCCACACACTCCGCACTTGTCATTCCTCGCCTTGGAGTTGAGAACGTGGTCACAGCCCGCTTGCTGGGGAGCAGAAAAATATACAGACGACGTTCATTTTAAAGTACTCTCTTATGATATTCTGAACCTAAAACGTTTATTTGGAGTTTTGTTTTTTTGTTCATAATCACACCTGATCATTCCAGGTGGGGGTGTTTCTGGGCAAATACAACCCGTAACTAAAAGCAGCTGCAGGCCACAGATGTTAGACAACATTTGTTAGTTTGCAACAGACAAAATGTACCTCTGACACAGATTAATCTTTGGAGCTTGAGCAGTTCGATTTAGGCAACTGGACATGACGTTTTCTAGAAGACGATTCGTCTCTCATCCAAAAAGCTTCTTCAGTTCTTCTTGGATGAGAGAAAACTTCACGTCCAGTTGCCTGAACTGAACTTTTCGAGCTTGACCATGACGTGGATGACTGAGAATGTTCACAGATATCAATCTTTGGAGAAAGTTAAGGCTTTACGGTGCAGAGGCAGGCCCGCACATATGAAGTCTGCCTTTAGTTATGCGGCGCAGGAAGAACAAACTGAGGGCGTACCCTGCAGAGGCCTTGGACGCAGATGTCAAACGTGTCTGGACCACACGGGGTGCCGTCGATGACGCGGTCCTTCAGCTGATAGTACGCTATCGTGCCAGCGACCCGGCAGAAGAGCTTGCAGCGATCCTTCATTAGTACTGAGCAGAGGAAGGAGACAAAAATCGAAAAACCATGGTTTTACTAAACAAGTAGAAAACTCTGAGCATTAGGACGAAGAAAAACCAAGATGTTACTTATCAAAAGTGCACTTCAGGTCTGATGACAGACATTCGTTCTAAGACTTTTTTTCTGACAAATGTAACCCCCCCCATTGACCTCGTACACTCGGCCCTATCTGGTTTGGTGGTACAGGGCCTGAGACTCGTATAAGGCCAGACTGAAGCTTGCTTTGTGACTTTTATTTGCCCACTTTCATGAATTCCTGTGACCTGCTAAAAAAGCCAACTTACCACTTTTTTTCTGTATCTTTCCCCTGTTTTAAGACTATCGTTGCGTCTCCTCTCACGTGAGCTCAGTTACACCCAGAATGTATTCAGTTATGAGCTACACAATTAATCGATTGTGTCACGTGCACAGGCATACTCACTGCCACTGTACTTGGGGACCCAGCGGACGGAGGGAGGCAGGCCATTGATGTTGAAGTGCTTGCCGTCGAACTGAGAGCACTGCTCCTCTCGGAAATCTCTCCGTCCGCGCGGACAGGGCTCCGTGTTGCAGGAGCGGAACTTCATCCGCCGGCCCACGCAGAACTTACCGCCATTTCTGGGCCTGGAAGAAGAAGAAAAAGACCGCACATCACAGCAGCACTACGCACACATTTCTGGACACATTTCTGATCATCCATGTTTCTTACTCTGGCTTGTTGCATTCTCTCATGGTGCTCCTCGTTCCTCCTCCACAGGACCTGGAGCAGACACTGTATGGCCCCCATGGACCCCACTCTCCATGGACCTGTTGTAGGTCCAGCTCCTTGTTGACGCACATTCCGTGTCTGCAATACTGCATGTCAACACACAAACACACTCTTAAGGGTGCTGAGGCAGATAGGTGTGGAATGTGCTGCCACGTTTTGCTAAAGTCAGCAAATGTTTCTTTATTTCGTTATGGCACTTACTAAATGCTCATTGTCATTTTTTCAGACACCTGTCTGTCTAAAGATGTCACAAAATGAAAATAGGAGACACCTCTTTGCGCCGCCACATGCACCAAAGCATCCGCGCTCATTTTCTTCTTAAATCACCTGTGGCTTGCATCTCAAACACACATTCACATAAGCCAGGGCCTTCAGCACAAGGCTCCATGTAACATCCAAAAACGAGGCGCCCCGTATCAAGCGGAGTTCTCCCACTGAGCAACTTTTGCCAAAAAGTGCTAACACTGCTCACACAGGCAAAGCATGGCAGGGACGTTTCCCCCCCGTGCGCGTAACCAAATCCCCCTCTCGGAGACTGAGATATCGGTGGGTCCTGTTCACTGAAAGAATGCAGGACAAGACGGCGTCTGTCTGAGTTTGTAGCACGCCGCTGAGGCCCACGGGCGCGGGGAGCAGCGGCACCGCGATAAGGAAACCCTAGAGTCGTGATAACAAGAAGAACAGAGTTTATTAGTCGCTTGGCACGGGGATCTCGCTTCTCCTGCTCTGCTCTGCGTCTTGTGAGTTACAAAGCAACACAAAAGCAGCCAAAGATGGAGGCCGCTCTCGCTGACATCACTGCATCCTGCCTGGCTCACCGTTTGGCGTCTCTGAGACATACTGGCCTCTCACAATTATAATAATCACATATCGATAATTCAACACGCCCACATAACCCGCGAGACCCAGCGGGATCAAACAAAATCATCACCTGCAAAACAGCATATGGGGTTTTTTTTATTTTACTGGCTCAAAATAAAATAATTCGGCACGAACTGGGGTCAAGTTAAGAGAAAACCTGTAGGAGTGCGAAGTCGTGCACGAAACCACATGGACACTATAAAAGATCTGGCACCTGTGCGTCTCCTATCCGAGCCTCCTCTGCATGTGTGTAACACACCAGACAAACTAATGGTGTTTAGTCAGCGCACAATGACAGGCAGGTGTAAAGAGCTTCAGGGCACGGGCTTCACAAGCCACGGACATTTCCATAACCCAGATTTAGTTTTTCAACATTTTTGCCCGCATTCTTTCTCTCAGACTACACTTTGCAAAAGCAAAACCGCACGCACTGATAATTTTGTTGGAGCGCTAACAACACAACCGTGGAAGGAATCATATAAAAAAAAAAAACACTCACAAGAATGCGATAAAACATGCACACCACAAAAAGGCAAACAGGTGCTGGCATTTGTTGGTTGTGCAACCTCCCTTTAGAAATAACAGAACCAAACCGTTTGGAGCTTTAGGAACCGTCACAGGAACACATTCAAGAGTTAAGGCCAAAAGCTCTCCTTTGTCACAGCCAAGACTTTCCCTCTCCTTACAGCTCTCACTTCCCCCTTCCCCCACATCAACTTTGGGACTGTCAACCCAAACCTGAGCATCCTTTCTGTATGGCCACCCATCCCCCCTTATCCCCCTAATGGGGGATTGCAAAAAGGCCGTGCAGAGACCACCGCATTGCAGTCGGGCAGGGGAGACCCAGGGAGCTGTCAAACACAAGGGGGACTGTCCAAAGGCCGGGTAAGCCTCTGAGGCATTCCACTCTCCCCGCTGGCAGCCTGTGTTTACAACCCGTTTTGTGTGGCTTGAAAAGGTGATGTGGAAGGAGAAAAAAAAAAAGAGAAAAAGAAAAGAGGAAAGGGGCAGTGGAAGGGGAAAAAAAAACATCTGTGTGAGGTGATCTATGCATGTGTGAAGGTTAGCATGCCCGCGAAACGCGAGCGCGCACCATGTGTGAATGTGTGGGAGCGAGGGCTGAGGTTCCGCAGGCATCTGGGGGCCACGCTCACTTCCAATTAGCCTCTTCCCGGAGTCTGCAAACACGCTCGGAAAAAAAACACCGGGGTGAAAGACGAGCTCTGCGAAAGTCAAATAAGCCTTTCAGACCCCGGCGGAGGCTTTCCTAGAAAGATTGTGGGTTTTAGCCCTGATTTGGGAGGCTGGTGAGGCATTTGAAGGCCTTGTGAGAGCAACCTGTACAGCTGTGACAAGCATGTGTTTCGAATGAGGAATTCCACTCACAGGGTCCCACACTTGCCCCTTCATCTCATATCGATACGTGTATATAAGTATAATATATCATGGGCGTACATGCATAGTCTAGGGACATGGATAATGCACACAGACTATCACACCACATCATTCTCACCACTTGGGTCCTCGAACACGTAACAACACACTAAATAACATCAACCCATCTGACCTAGGCAAACACAGAGAGCAGTCACGAGCCAGCTAACTGCAAGAGTGGGAACCATGAGGACGGCAGCATCTGCTCCGGCTGCTTTTGGAGGAGAGCACCCTGTAATTGCCGGGAAGCTGTTGCGGAGAGCATCTCATTTCTGAACCCAAGCCATACATCACCGCAGGAATGAGAAGGCAGGGGACTGATTTCAGAAGTGCTCCGCTCTCTCATTTTGACGCGCACGTTTCCAAAAGGCATCACCTTTCATGTCGCGGTGTTTTTTTCTCATACCGCCCGATGGCGACCCCCCCCCCCAGCCCCACCTCCCCTCGCCTCAAACCGTTACCTGAAAAAAACTCAAAACATCTGCAGCCACCTGTCAAAAGAGGTTAATGCGGACCACCGCTGCTGATTTTCACTAAGGTATCATTCACTTCTACATGTGCTGGAACGTGACCTGGAGGTGAGGGGCGACGTGAAGCTCCTGAGGCCAGAGAGAGCAGCAATGGAGTCTCTGAAGAGTTCCCTTTGGACTGAGGGGGCAGTGAAGTCCAATGACAGTTGTTTTTCTACTGAGGATTTATACCGACTCCTTTATTGAAGGCTGCTTTTTTTTTTCTCACTGTAACATTCTTTACCTTGTGTTAAAACGGTGTATACTTCCTTTATGCCCTTACCTCGTTTCCTATGCTCTCTTGCTACTTCTCTGTAATCCCTCGTAGCTGCACATCTTTCAAAGAAGTGGAAAGGTTGTCATTAGACTGAATGAGTAGTTTGGGTCCATCGGTTGCTCCATTCACGTGCACTTCAGAGGATTTACTTTTACTCTGTTTTTTTTTTTTCCACGAATATCTTCACCACGGTACAACCTCTGAGACACGGTGCTAAACCTACACCCCCAAATCTGGAATTAGTTATATTGCTTGCATTGATAGACTGTGAGGAAACACGACAAAATCTACAAAATCAATAAAGACACTTTTTAGATTTACTAAACGTTTAAATCTATCTTGTTTTTATTAACTCCCCCATCACCAAATATTGCTCATAGAGCATTAGTGGCCTTCTTCCTCCTTCCTGATGGGGTCTTTAGAGACAAACAAAACGCAAGCTTAAAAAGACCTTATTTTAAAATGTTTTAACATCACTGGTTAGTGCAGTATGTCATCTTTCTATATGAAGATACATTTTTGTTTTACAATAATAGCAATAATAGTTATCACAATAATAATAATTGTAGTCCTAATAATTTACTTCATATCAACCTGAATTTGTTTGAGCAACAGTTATTCACATGAGCTTTATTTTAAAGTCTCATTTCAGTTTCAAACCATGGACACTTTTGGAAATGAACTGTCATGACTTTTCAGTTGTTCCAGATGTTCCTCAATACTTTCATCCTTATTGAGTGATTAAATAAATCTAATCTATGCCTGCTTGTGAAGCTGATACCAGCCCTCCCTGTCTCAATTACAGGGATACAATAGTTTTTTTATACAATTCTGATATCAAATGCACATCTTTGATGTATTTCTAACTGAGGAATTACATTCACCTGCATGGAAAATTTTCATTAGAGCAATGGATTAACTTTCCATGCTTTGAGCTAAACAGGTACTAAGTTAAAGCTGCTAGCCAACCCAGAAATCCCAGAGGTTGTCCGGTTCTTTGAATTAGCAGCACAAATCAAAAGCAAAACATTAAGCGTAGTTAAATAGATTCATGAAATTATTCTGATATGCATCAAAGGCTTTGGGTGATGATGAATCACTGATGTTACTCTCTTTCTGATGAATAGACAAAAGGAAAATTATCATTATATTTAATAAAGAATACATGTGAAGTAAGTGATATTTGGATTTGGATTTTGTGGCCATTCCCATGTTAATGTATCCTGTATTCAGACAGAGAAAATAACATTGGTACAATCGCACTTTACTATAATCATGCCAATGCAAATCTCTGCTTCCACATAGCCTGCCATGAAAGCGGCGCTCAGAGGCCACCGGACACAGTAATTCCAGCAGCAAACTGTACGACTGCTGAAACAACAATCCTGTTGTTATCCCAAATCCACAGATATGTCTGCGATGATGGCAAATCAAAGTGGCAACATCCTGCAAATATCCCCAGATTAGCTGAGAGTGACACCGATACTACTCTCACGATCCCACGCTCCCGTAGATGCTCGCCGCTGCGCACACAGACACACACACAGACACGCACACAGGGACGCACATCTCATCACAGCATCGTACGACGAGTCTGTCAGGCTGCCAGCGGAGCTCCAGCCAACACTCGCCGCCTTCGCCAACAGACTCCATTCTGCTACGGCCTCACTTTTCAAGACCTCACTGTCTCACTCGAATTGGCTGAATCCAAGGCAGGGGCAGGTCATCCTTCTTTTCCAAGGAATGCTCTGGGAATCCAAAAGCAACTTCCCATTTCGACGCTTGCACAAACCTCTCAAATTCAAAGCATCTGGGAGCCTTGGAAATCTTGGAAACAGGCATTCGAAGGCAAACTAGGCAAAGCAGAAAATTCGAGGACGCAAGTAGTTGCGTTTGTGTCAAATACAAGACAGAAAAAGTCTACGGCGAAGCGATCAACAGGAAAAACTGAAAAAAATTAAGCAAAAACCATCTCTAAAACTTCTCTCTAAGTCCTGCCGAGTCATGATATGGTGAGAAAAATGGAAAGGATCTTCAAACAGTGCGGACATGAATGCAAGGCCAAGTGGTCCCGTTGGGTTGACAAGTTGGCTGGCCCCTAATCTACTTGCACGCACAAGTGCTCAGACACACACACACACTCACACACACATGCATACACACACACACACAGATGCATGTGGTTACAATTCAAAGTAGGTGTCTCTGCGATGCAGTCCTCTACCCGTATTTGCACTCATGAGCAGGAAGGAGTAGAAAGGGTGGCCGAGAGGAGGAGGAAAAGAAGAGAGAGGGTGTATGGAAGGGTTGGAGGGAGTGGGGACTGTATTTATAGACAACAAGTGATGTGATGCTCTCGTTAGAGCGCGGCCCACTAAGCCAGATCACAGACACTCCGCCAAAAGGTCATGTGATCGCATTATCCACTCCAGCGCCCCACGGATGCATGAGACAAGGAGAGAGGGTGGGAGGAAGAGAAAAGGGCAGCAGTGGAGAAACAGAGAGGAACAGAACAGCGAGGATGAAAAAAAACAAAAAAACAGCCCAGAATCCTGCTGTGCTCACTGTCCGATCGTAATCAAGCAGTATACAAACAAACTTTTTCTTCCCCTCCATCGTTGAGCGGACGTGCCTCTCCCCCACTATTTGGGCACCGACCTCATTTACCCAGAGTGGCCACGACTTTGTTTCGTAACCCGGCCGAACAAAAAAACTCCCCCCAGATAACCCAGTCACAAGAGGTGATGGCCATTCAGAAAACTTGTAAATGATGTGGGCGCTTTGATCTGATATGAGCTACAAAACGGGTCTGTGGAGAAGATCAGTGGTACTGTAGTCCCCCCCACACCCCCACCCCCCCACCCCCCCTCCCTTCCATTCCGCCATAGAGGCCACAGTTGTAATCCTCCAGACCTGACACCTAAGAGCCAGGAGCCTGACCCAAAAAACCCCATAAAAGCTGTAGACCTGAACCTCATGACTTCTTTGTAGGAGACACAAAATTACACAGGGGTCAGGAGATAAAGTGAGATGGTGTGACAGATTGCAAACAGATTATGTCTAGGCAGAGAGAGTGGACAAACACGAGGAGGCCCCAGGAGATATAAGGAACGAACAATGCAAGACTGACACAAAAGAATTAAGAAGACTCATCTGGGCGTGCAGATTATCTGACGTCGCGGGCCCAAAGATGAGCACAAACATACTCCCTGACACACAAAACACTCCACGCTGAAATACCACATAAAAGAGCACTTGTATGGGCAGGTGAGTGTTGGAGCAGGGTCCCCATCTCTTTCAACTCGTGCTACTTCAAACGGCATCCTGCATGGAGATGAAACCGGGGCCTCTGCACTGCAAACAAAGGTGGTGCCACCACTGACGAGCACAAGGGGGAAAAAGATAGAAAAGTTCTCTGTTCTGCTCTCATATTTGTTCAAACGGGAAACGGCCACCTGTCAAAAGATCTGAAATACACTTTTCCTGTACTAAAATTCAACATTTTCTTGATGTTCAATTTACTATAAAAAACAAATATCTACATGTTCACTATGGACCAGAATGTATCAAACAGCTTATTTTCCATTCTGGCTCAAAATGATGCTGCCATATGTGTCTCAGTTAGTGGAGGCTTATTCAAATTAATCAACCATCTAACCTCCTCAGGCTCTACACATTGTATGACATGCAAGCTCTGATGATGAACAAGGAAGCAAGCAGGCTTCTTTTCTACCTACTTTGACCAGTGAAAATACAGTTTTCTGGTCAAAATTCAATCTGAAGTGTCTCAAAGACATCTGGATGAACTATAATGAGCATGCACAACAAGAAGAGAAGATACCTGACTCTTCATTGTGTACACTACCCTTAAGATTGTAAGTTGAACTAGTTGTGGGGCTGACTGCCCAAGCATCAAGTCTGGCCTTCAATAAAGGCCAGATTTGATATTTTAATCTAGCTAAATCAGCGTTTGAGGCTGATAGGCTCAAGCATGGGTTGTATTCACGCTCCATGTTTGCCCCACATATAGAATGGGAGCAGAATGGGAGTCGTGGGAGCATTACTGTTGAGTCTGGTTGTTGTAGTTGGATTAAGATGTTTAGCTATCTCCTGTTAACCTCTCCTCTCCAGACCGGGCGGTTTGGGGCCCTAACATGGCGAAATGGAAGACGGAGTCACATGAAAGGACATGAGAGATTACATGGATCCGTGCCGCAAGACTCTCCCAGGGCCAGAGGTTAAAGAGAGAAGAGAACCTTCCATCTCTCACTGCGACTCCCTCCCTGACCAATGTTTTGAATGCTAAACCGCCTGCTCACCTCTTTCCTCTCTACCTCCGCCTCCCTTCTCTCCTCCTCCTCCTCCCTCCTGCTCTGTGGAATCACTGATGTGAGGTCTTTTGTGAGAATGCTAGCTGGTCTCAGCCTTGGCTCTGTTACGGCCCGACCACTGACCCACTCACTCGCCTTTTAAAGAGGTTTTAGGGTCACGGGTTCACAACACGGTGACTCAGCTGCGAACAACGGGCGGCATCCTCTTTCAAAGGGCGCATGTCCTCACCTTTCCCTCTCAGGACCCTCTTTTCCTCTTTCTTCCCCTCCCTCTGTCGATATTTTCTTCTCGTCTTTTCTCCGTCTTTTCATTTTTGTCCCTCCTCCCCTCCCCTGCCGCCCTTCCATCCATGTGTCCTCAGTGACTGACCCGACGTCTCAGCCCTAATTAGCATAGTATCCCAGAGCGAGGAGAACATGAGGGCTAATGGGGGGTCGGGGGCCCCATAACAACACCAGGGGTAAAGCTTCGAGTTTTCTAACAAGGGCCATCACCTGACCACATTTACATGAGTTTCTACAGGCGGAATAATGCATGATTAATGTGGTTTCTGGCTCCTGTCGGCGATGCATTTAGTCAGAAACGCAACAAGGCCGCATTTCACTCACAATAAAACAATGCCAGTTGAAAGGTAAAGAAATAACAAGCATTCAAATCGGACCCACATTTTGGGTTTAACACATTTTGATCTCATAAAAGCTGAAAAAGTTTCTAAAATGAAATGGAGATGTTTTCCATCCAATATAAAAAAACATAAAAACATTTCATTTGAAGCTTTTTATTATCCAAAACTGACTCTGTAGGAAAGATAAAAAAAATGAGTGTGTGAACACATCTGTAGTGTGTGTAGCGTGTGTTTCCTAACTGTGTAAAAACATGTGCAATGTCCGTTACGCTCCGGTGCTGTTTTGGTACTGGCTATGTAAAATCATTTGTCTTTTTATCAAACAGAGATCCACACATGGATTGACTTACCATTCCATGGCCACAATCTGTCCCATCAGCCAGTGGCATGTGCTGGGTGCGACAGCCCTTGTGATCCCCCTCTGCACTCGTACACCACAGCCTCTTGCACTGTTTCTGCGGATCAAAAACAGAGAATTGAAACTAAACTTGAGCAAAGTGGCCTCTTTATTTGCGCGTTAAAAGCTATATCATATAGCACATTCCACAAGGAAACGTGTTAATCAACATGTATACTAATGAAGACAACAAGGCAAAGCACACGCTTGGATTGATCAAACTGATCTACAAGAAAGTTTAAAGTTTCAGCAAATAAAAAAACTTAGGGAGGAAAAGAACCTCCCCAGTACAGCCTCTATCTAAACCTTTATCTGCTTGGGGATAAGGTCAGCTTACCATGTAGGGGCAAATTTGAGAACCGGGACCGAACATAAGTTCACACTGTCTGTTGGCATTGTAGATCTGACCAGGGAGAAGGCTGGGAAGTTCATATGTTCTGCCCACAGGCTCGTCCAGGAGGCACTCCCCATAGCCAGTGCTGTAAAAAGGGAACGACATACTATCAGGGGGATGAAAGACAAAAAAGCACACACTCCTATAGTTGTGGGAGTCACACTGGTGCAGCTTCACATGGCAAAAATTCAAACTCAATTGGTATTTTCTGACCTAGAAATGTAACAACATGCGTCATCTCCTTCATAAAGGCAAAGCAGACATTTCCGTGTCATTGTCTGTGATCAGCCTCTGATGTGTTTTTCTTTGTGGGTGGTCTGTATGGTTCCCTACAAGAAGAAAAAAAAACTTCCCTTTTCAAGCCTATTGGTAAATACCGGCTCTATAGAACTCCGGCAAGGCTCCAGAGGCTGAATAAGATCAGCATTATGGAACAGGCGGGAAAGGATGTTCATGCTGACCAAAAGTAAACACAAGGTGTATTCTACAGGGCTCAGGGCAAACAAGAGGCTTTAGAGCCCCAAAGGCACCCTGACTGAGTAAGGTGAATGATTGTCAGCTCCAAGCACGATAATAGATTGTGCCATACATCAGCCGAACTCTCAGCCATGAATCGATCCAACAAAAGCACAGCTGGACTGAACGTATATATACACTGGCGGGCTGCTTATAAAAATCGTCCGCCTTTACTTGAAAAGGCGCCAGTCGAGCGTGTTAACAGAGCAAGGAGAATAACAAAGGTTCCGTTCTTTTTTTTTGTTAACTTAGGAAAAAGGAAACCCATAAAGACAAATTTCATCCTGGACTGAGCTGTGAAAAAACACCTGCTCAAAAAAAAAAAGAAAAAAAAAAAAAGAAGCACCAGCTGATGTGACAGGCCGATAATTACGCGGGATTATCCCGGGTTTACCAGCACTTTGTTTCTTTCCCCTTTCATTTCCAGCCATAGGGAGCTGCAGCGCGCGCTGCCTGGCGGTAGGGGCGGGACGGAACCACACAACTCCGGGGGACAGTGGAGGATACTGTGAATGAAAACCAAGGAGCTGCCTGTCAAAGAGCCGTACAGACACTCCCATATTACAGCGTCTGTCAGCGGTAGGTCATCTGTCTAATCGGAGTCCTGGAACCTAGTGGTAAGGTTATTAAGACCGAGGCAGGCTGACAGAGGGAGAAGGGGTCATTGTGGTCATCTTTCAAATGAAACGTGTTTTTTTTTTTTTTCAGATAGGACAGAGCACAGACAGAGTCTGAGACAGCGATTCCTTTCTGAGAGATCCCTCACCTGGCAGCTATTAGAGGACAAGACAGTGTGTTTATTTACCAAAAATGACTTTTGGGTGCGTCGCTGCGGGTGTGTCTTGTGAGGCTAAACGATATTAGTTTGAGTGTAGAATATACAGGGTGGGAGAATCTCTGGGAGATTTATGGTTTAAGGACACGGTGCAGAATGCAGCCTTTGATCAAAAACTTGTCAAACAAACTGCGGTGGCACTGTCACAACAAATGCTCTGTCACGGACAGGGGGCACACAAAGCCAGATACACACTCCGCTGGATTTGGGTAAATAAAGACGAAATGGTTTTTAAAATCATTCCTTTTATGGCTGGTGCTGCTGGGGAACTCTTTGAGAAGCTGAAACCGGCAGGGCTTGATCAACAACGACAGCAGCCGTTGGCAGCGCTTTTAAATTTTTTTTCTTCTCGTCTTAAATCGAGCAAAAGCAGCAACAAAGATGGAATGAATGGCTTCATTATAAGCCTGTAGACCAGTAATAACACCACACTCCAACTGGACTCTTTTCATCAGCTCTCAGGCGTGGTAGTTTATTAGAGCGCCGGCAAGATAAGAGGGTGGAGAGGAGGCGGACTCCCTTCACCTTTGGAAAAGAGATGCTCAAGTGGAGGTGCGGCCTTTGGCTTTAAAAACACGGCGGGAGAGTGTGGCGTGTTGAATGTGCTCTTCAAAGAGCGGGCTGTCAAAACACTGACGTACTTGACCAGGTCAGCCCACTGAGCAGAAGTGGGACCAGAGATGGGCCAGTTGGAATGAATGTTCCTCATTGTTGGCAGGAAACAGGCTAAAGCACTTGGTCTCCACTCTCGGGGTCCTTTCCCACCGCCGTACCGCTTTAATCTCCCCACACCTGCACCGTATTTCTATCCTGTGTATCCTAAATGCTCGTTTCAGTTGCCTCTCACATCTACATCGCGCTGGTTTATCCTAACACAGCTGGGAGGGAGCCGTAAAAAAAAAAAAACGTGGGTATTTCCCTCGCGTTCGGTGGGCTGTGCGGGGGTCATCGCCGACTGGAAACTATGCAGAGTGCGACATTAAAGCTCCATGAAACGCTGCGCTCTCAAGATGCATCTGGGCGACAAGGCCGTTCTTTGTGAGGCCCTCCGCAATTAAGCGTGGAAAAAAGGGGGAAAAGATTAAAGGGTCGTGTCCAGGGAGGATCTAATTATAAGTGACATTTCCCATTTTCGAGGGAAATCCTCGGGCAGGATCGCTGACCACGCTGCGGGTTAGGGGCGGCCGAATGAGGCATGGCTGGTTT